ATATATATATATATATATATGTATATATATATACTCCTGAATGACCAGAGGGTGAATGAAGAGTTGAAGGAAATAAAAAAAAATTATCAAAATGAATGCAACTGAAAACACAATATATCAAAACCTGTGGCATACAGCAAGACCAGGAAGAAAAGGAAAGTTTATAGCAGTAAGTGTCTACATCAAACAGGTAGAAAAGCTTCAAATAAACAACCTAATGATACATCTCAAAGAACTAGAAAAATAAGAGCAAACCAAACCTAAAATTAGTAGAAAAGAAATAACAACAATCAGAACAGAAATGAATGAAATTAAAAAAGAAATCAATGGAGCAAAAGAATTTTTTTGAAAACATAAAACAGACATAGCAGTTTAGCTAGAATAACTAAGTAAAAAAGAAAGAAGACACAAATAAAACCAGAGATGAAAAAGGAGACCTTACAACTGACACTGCAGAAACCCAAAGAACCATTAGCGACTACAAGCAACTATGTGCCTATAAATTGGAAAACCTAGAAAAAAATGGAGAACTTTATAGACACATACATTCCACCAAGATTGAACCAGGAAGAAATCAAAACCTGACCCTGTCTCTACTAAATATAGAAAAATTAGCCAGGCATGATGGCAGCGCCTGTAGTCTCAGCTACTTAGGAGGCTGAGGCAAGAGGATCACTTGAACCCAAGAGTTTGAGGCTGCTGTGAGTTAGGCTGATGCCAGGGCAGACTAGCCTGGCCAACAGAGTGAGACTCTGTCTCAAAACAAACGAACAAACAAACATCATAGAGCCTGAGTGCTTAAGAATGGTGACCTTTGCTGTCTGCCTCCAGATTCTTTTGTAAGAAGAAAAAAAAAAATCCCAAAACAAAAATTCTATTCTGCCTTATTTATGCCACTGTTACTTTTGGCCCCTGGTGGTAGCACCTGAACACAATTCCTCAACAATACAAGTCTTTCAGGATCTTAAACCTGAAAGGTTGAATATGGCTGTGGAAACCACTCCATGTGCCATAGTGTACAGTTTCTCGTCAGAGTTACATCTTCAAATCCCTCTTCCAACACCCTCAGTGACTATGTCACACTTTCTATTCAACTCTCCCCACCTCTTCTTTATTCACTCTCTGGAGAAAACCACTGTGGTTTTTGCTCTGCAAAAGCTTTTAAAAACAAAACAAAACCAAAAAAAAAGCTTTTAAAAACTTTTTAAAACTTGAATTCATCAATATTTTCATTCATGGCTATTTGGTTTTGTCAAACTAAGGGAGAGTTTCTCTACTCTATGGTTACATAATAGTGACATGTTTTCTTCTAGTACTAGGGCTATTTTTTCATCATTTAAATCTTTGACCTTCATGGGCTATTTTTCCATCATTTAAATCTTTGACCTTCACGGGATTTATTTTGGCATAACTTAGAAGTTAGGGAGATAATGTTATTTTTTCCTCAGATGGCTACCTAATCATTTTAGCATCATTTATCAAATTATCTGTCATTCTTCATAGACTAGAAATGTTAACTTTTAACCTACTAAATTGCTGCATATATTTGGGTTTGTTTTTATCCTAGAGGTTTCTCTTCTTTTCCCTTTTCTTCCATTGGTTTATCTGTGGAATAAGCCAGTGTTGCATTGTTTCAATGATCACTACTGAGTAAGCGCTAATGCTCCTGTAGTGCAGACTCTGTGCTAGGATCTATACATGCCCTTTGATCATCAGGAGTATCTCACATAGGTTACCATTAATCCTATTGACATGAAGAAGTTGCGGCACACAGTATTTATATCAATCTGCCAAAATTTCCCTAGCGAAGGTGTGAAACCAGGATCTGACTACAGGGTCTTCACCTCTTTGCTTTAATATATTAAAGAGTGAATCTCCCTCCATTGCAGATTTTCTTTAAAGTATTTTCAAATCAATTTGGGGGGATGCTGGGATATAACTAATCAATGCCTCTGGCCTTGTCCTCTTTTTTAAGCTGTAAGTCCACCCAAATTTCTGATGGACAACTCTATTCAGATGCCACACAGTATCTCAAATATAACATATCCCAAATTAGATCATCTTTCCCCTACAAATATGTTCTCTTTTTCTATTCCCTATTTTATTTTTATTTATTTATTTATTTATTTATTGCAGTTTTTGGCTGGGGCTGGGTTTGAACCCACCATCTCCGGGCATATGGGGCCAGCGCCCTACTCCTTTGAACCATAGGTGCTTCCCTCTATTCCCTATTTTAATTGGTGGCTTCAACACAGGCTCATTCACCCATGAAACATAGACTTATTCCTGCCCCCTTGCCTGCACATCCATCTGTGCACTGGCATATCTGTGACAGGGAGCTCAAGTCTCCTCTTGGCTGTTCACATTGCCTCTGGGATCAGAGGCTCTTGGGAGTGATTTCCAAGATTCTTGCCTCTTATCTCCTGCTTCTTCTGCCAGCACCGAAGTTTGAAAGTTCATAGGATGGTTTCCTCCACCCAGAAAGAAAGTGAGTGGCCCGGACACCAACCCTTGCCACTTGCCTGACTAATTATTTTTATTCCTTGATTCTTTTTGCCTAAGTCACTTCCTCTGGGAACTCCTCTCTGACTATCTCTCCTTGGTCCCAACTGCGTTAAATGCCACCATATTTCTTTCTCAATTAAGCAGTTTTGTGGCAACTAATACTCCCTTCTCCAAATTGAGTTCCTCGAAAGTAGAGTCTGTTTTTGTATCTTCAGTTTCAACCCATGCCCCAGCAAGTGGGCAGTCAACCAATGCTTGTTGAGCTAAGCCAAACTTCCTTCCCTTCTGTTCTATGGGGTTACGGGGGGTCCCAGAGGAGGCCCATCCCCTCCCCATGAACCAAAAGGTCAGGATTGATGAGAAATGACCAAATCAAGAGAAGAACTGGGAAGTGATCAGATGGCATGGAGAGGGATTGGTGGCTCTCAAACTTTATCTTGCACGATCTGAGATGCAGATTTGCAAGACCAGACACCAGAGTCTGACTTAGTGGGTTTGAGGGGAGCCCAGCAGTGATCTGCATTTTTAAAAAGCACATTTGGCGATTCTGCTGTAGGAGGGATCTGAGAAATACCCAGTTGGGAAACCTGGGGAAAGGGCAGGTCCTGGGCCACATACCTTTTCTTCTTTTCCATCCGAGGAACACTGTCAGTCCCAAAATGACAGTTTTGAGCGCAATGGTGGCCACTGCCACCCCGAGTGCCATCTCCAGACTGAGGAGCTGAGATCCTGAGCTCTGTTTGCCCTCTGTGACTGTGACACCAGCTGTGGTAGCTGTGTTGGCCTTGTTGGTGGGGCTCTGGATGGTGGTCCTGTCAGCTGGGGAAAGATGAGAAATAAGTGGATTCTCCCCTGGAGGTGTGGGGCATCTGGGTGAACCTGTGGCATCTTGTTTTGTATGTGGGGGAATATTGGAAACAGGAGAGCCAGTCTCAGAAGCTCACATAGAAAGGGGAGTAGCAAGGTGAAATACTACAAGTTTAGTATCCAGAGGACTTGGTTTAAATTTAAGGACAACATATGTCACCAAAAGTCATAGTGGGCTGGGCAAGATAGGTGTCAGGACAGTTGGACTCACCTAGAGTGATGGTGACCTTGGTCCCTGGGATGGATTGAACAGCCTGCCAGCCAATTGTCTTTATTTTGATACGGACTCGGCAGAAGTATACAGACTGGTCCTTTGGCCCCAGGTTGGAGATCCTGAGGAAGCCAGAATTCTGATCCTCTGTCCAGTTCAGGTAGATCCGGCCCTTGTAATCCTCATGGATGAAAGGCGGAGTTGTGTTGTAGAAGAACTCCCCGTGGAAGTGTCCCCGTCTCCAGGATATGCGCACTCTGGGATCAGCTAATTCTCCAGGGTAATAGAAGGAGAAGGGGATTTGGATGGAGCCTCCCATGGGGGCTGAGAGCTGTGCAGGTTGCTCGACCCGATAGTATACTGCTAAGTCACCTAGAGGAGGGGGTGCACAGAGAGAGAGAAGTGTGTTTGTTGGGGGGAAACATTGAAGCCACAATAGGACATAAAGAGGGTAACCCCAGACCTTCTAGCACCTTCTCCCAGAGGCAGTCATGTGGCAATTGGTAGGACAGACCCTCTGGGCTGGGTCTCTCCTGGCAGAGGGGAGGAGAGAGGAGGAAGGGCTGGGATAGACCCACCCTTGTGGGGATAAAGCCTTCTTGGTTGGGGCTAGGAGGCCTGGCTGGCTGCTCCAAGACTCCCCTGCTCTAGATGCCCCACCACTGTCCCTCCTATGGTCTGCGCAGAGCCCCCACCAGGCTGGTCCTGGGCACTCACCAGTTCCCAGAAATGCTGGTGACGGCAGCAGAAGCAGGGGCAGCAGCAGAGACCAACCCATGGCCTTGATCTCCTCCAGGGGATGAGAAGGCAAGCAGAGCCCTCAAGGCAAGAAAAGGGGCCCTACAGAGGAGCCCTCCAAGGGCCCCACGAGTCACGGGTACAACACACCAGAAAGCCAGGACCAGGCTGCTTCAGGGAACTGAGGGAGGTGGGGCTGTCCCCAAACCCACCCTCCTCCGGGGTGACCAGCACTTCCTTTATCAATCGGGCTTCTTCTTTTCCTGTATTGTGAAAGAAGGGCCTGCCTTGTGGTCAGAGCCAAGACAGCTCTGTCCCCAGGCTCCTTGGTCCCCATCTTCTTGCTGAGGGGCCTGGTCCTGACCTTGACCAGCTGGGGCCTTAGCTCTCCCACCTGGACTCACTGTCCTGCCAGCTGCTCAGAGTTGCTTGTGAAGTCAGCTCCTCTCTTTCTCTCTCTGTCCCTCTTTCTGTCTCTGTCTCTGTCTCAGTCTCTCTCTAATTTTCTCCTGCCCTTCCTCCACCTCATTCAGTCTCACTGTTTCTCTCCTTTTCCCTGCTTCTCCCAGTGTCTTCAATCTTTCTCTCTAGCCTTTTCCCTGGTTCTCTGAGTGTCTCCCAGCTTCTGTATCTCTCATCTCAGGGGAAGGGGCTGCCCAGTCCCATCATGGGCTCTTTCAAGGAGGGGACAGGCTGGCATAAGTCTCCCCAGCTATGTTCCCAGTTTGGCTGTTAGGAGGACAAAGAAGAATGAGGTACTGGCCACACACCCTCAGCCCTCAGCAGAGCCCTCAGTTTGCTCTCTGTGCCCCTCCCTGGCAGGCAGGGGCTCCCCTGCAGTCCCCCAGCAGAACCAGACCTGATTGGACCCTTCCCACATCTGGCCTGGTCCTTGGTGCAGAGACCGTGTCTTTCCTGGAGTCTTGCCTAGGTGATGTGACTTGGCAGTGGTGGGTCACTGTCTAGAACTCCCATTCTGCTGAGTCCATAGACCTTCTACTCTACTCTGATCTTTGACCTGGCTGCACAGCGGTGTCTCTGGGCCTCAACATCTAAATGCAAAAACCCTGGGGTGAGGGATCCCTAGGAGGCTACATTTTCAGAAAGCTCTTTTAGTGAGCCCCTCCACTCTAGTGAGTCACTCTTCTAGTGAGTCCCCTAGTAATCCAGAACCTTCCTTAGACAGTAGAAAATGAAGGCTCAGAGCAGCAATGAGGTCCCTGTCCCCCTCCCCCTAGTCCCTGACACCATCTTTAATGCAGGGAACTGCCAGCCTTTGGCTGGTGGTGGATAGGAGAGAGATGGGCCTGGGTGCTCTAGTGACCCACAGGGCTCACTCCCTAGAGGGTTCTGCTCACCCCTTCCAGAATGAGGTGGTCCCAGCTTATTGAGTGGACGGAGGGGGCAGAAAGACATTATTTCACCAGAAAAAGTGGTGTCAGCCTTCTTGAGGTGGAAGCTGGCAAAGAGACTTCCATTATTTACTCAATTTCCTCCTTAATTCTCAAAGTTTCTTCCACGGTTCCCACACCTACCCAAGCTGCCCCCACTCTCCCTCTGTGTGTGCTCTTCCTGTCCCCCCTCACAAGCCCGAAACAGATTTCATGTGTTCAAGGAAGCCTTTTACGTGAGTCCTAAACACTCTCATTCTCAGTGTCACACAGTCTGTGGGAGATGCATCATCTCCATTTTACCCATGGGGAAACTGAGGCATGCTGGGTTTGGGCTGAATGGTCCCAGCCAGAAAGGTGGGCTGAAGAGAGAAAAAAGGGCCCATAGGCTGTCTCAGCACAGCCCTGCCTGGGTCTTGACCCTTGGATTCCATTCCTGCCTTGCCCCAAGAGCTGGTGGGAAAGTTACCTGCTTACCAGACTAGCAGAGAAGGGGGCTAAACCACTCCAGGGGCACCACAGGCCAGCTGGCAGTCACATGGAACTTTTACAAATCAGGCTCTGAGTAACTTTCACAGGGCCCCTGCTGCCCAGGGGTCCTTAGGTTCCATGCTATCGTATGTGGTCTTCCTAATGCAGGACACACACTTTATGTCACTTTCAAGGCCTGGACCCAATTGAATCCCCATGAGGGATTCTCTGGTTGACCCAACTTCTGCTGAGGAATGGTGTGAGGTCTCCTGGGCTATTCACATTCCTTTCACAAGGAAGAGCCTGGGATCAGCCTGGAGCTGTGGCTCTTCCACTGACGGGGTGGGAAGGGGTAGTTGGATTTTATGATGCAAAAATGGGCAATGCCTGAGTGCCATCTTTCAGCCAGCAGATGGCTTGGGGGAGGGGTGGGGAAGTAGTGTGATCAAGAGCAGGGACAGGGGTGGGGTGAGGACCTTGGATCACACTTTGACAACTACTGCCTTAGATGTCTCCAAGATCCCCCAAGTTCCTGTTCTCCTTTCCTCCTGGCTGTGTCCATCCCTGTCCCAGCCCCTTCTCCCTCCTTGGTAGCCCACTCTGTTTCTGCTTTCCCATAAGGTCAGGAACACAGACACTTGCTCTCCCTACCTTTCTTCATTGTATTGGAGGTTCTAGCATGTTAAGGCCAGAAAACAAATATAAGTTCTATCTGTGTTTTATTAGATTTCATGTATGTCTATTCCGTATCTGTTCAGTGCAGGGCCAATTATATTATCTGTAATTTCTTATTTTCTGCATTTTTTTTTAAGAGACAGACTATCACTTTGTCACCCTCAGTAGAATGCTGTGGCATCACAGCTCACAGCAACCTCCAGCTCTTGGGCTTAGGCAAGTGTCTTGCCTCAGCCTCCCAAGTAGACCACCACAACACCCAGCTTTTTGTTTGCAGTTTGGCCGGGGCAGGGTTCAAACCTGCCACCCTCAGTATTTGGGGCCGGCACCCTACTCACTGAGCCACAGGTGCTGCCCTATTTTCTGCATTTTTTTTTTTTTTACAGACTTGGTTTTTATTGTTATGTATGTTTGCCCTCACCACCATAGGCCACCCAGGCCTGCAGGGAGGACCAGGCAGCAAAGACAGCTCCAGATGGCTCTATGCTGCCACTTTGGGCCTTAGGGCTTATAAAATGAGCACTGTGGGTTCTACCTTCCAACATGAAGTGTAAACTCTGTTTCACAGACTTCACCATGAGGGAGAGATGGCTGAAGGCACTTTGAGCAAAGAGCAAACCCAATGTCCGAGTTCATCTTCATTTTGGTTACTCCGATGAAGATTGGACACCACTCTGATAGAGAACCAGCACTGCTGGCAGCCGGGGTTAGTGCGCCGACCGGGCAGGGCAAAGGCCCCACTCACTGGTAGAACTTCTTGTTAGGATTGTTGGTGTAGTTAGTTAGCAGCTGGCATGGAGTGAACTGTTTTCCATAGGCAACCTCACACTTCCTGAGCCTGTCTGCTATCTTCTGAGCACTGTACAGATCTGTGAATCTGAAAGGCCCTCCAAAACAAGGTGGGAAGCTGAGCCCAAAGACTGCTCCAATGTTTCCCTCTGCAGGTGTGGCCAAGATCCCTTCCTGCAGGCACATGACTGCCTCATTCACAAATCTTATCAACAGGTGGTACTGGATGTCTTCATCAGAGGAGACTTCAGACTTAGAAGACACCTTCAGACTTGCCAAAATACCATCCATGTCAGAATTCAAGTTCTTATCCTTTATACACTCCTGGTAGATATAAAAGCCCTTCCCAGACTTACGACCGAGGAAGCCCTTGGACACCATCTGTGTCAGTAGTTCTAGGCTTCCACCTCCAAACAGCTCCCCAAAGGCTTTGCCTAGTTCTTCTGCTACATGTTTTGCTACATCCACGCCAACTTCATCCACCAATGTGGCAGCACCCACAGGAAAGCCAAAGCTTGTGGTCAAGGAATCCAGCTTCTTGGGGTCAACTCTTTCCTAGAGTATTCAGATGACTTCAGACATCATGGGTGCAAGACACCTGGTTGTGTAGAAGCCAGGCCCATCCTTAACCACAATGATGACCTTCCCCTGCTTGAGACTGATTGCTACAGCTGAAGCAATTGTGCCCTTGGAAGTTTTCTCCGTTTTGATAATCTCCAGCAGCTGCATCTTGTCCACAGGAGAGAAGTAGTACATGCTAATCACCTTGTCAGGTCTTTTGCTGACAGGAGCAATTTCACAGATAGGCAGAGCAGATGTGTTACCGGCAAAGACACAATACTCTGGAATCACCGCTTCTACTGCCTTTAGCACTTTGTGTTTGAAACTAAGGTCCTCAAAAACAGCTTCAATCACCATGTTGGCCTTTTCAAAACCTTGGTAATTGAGCTGCCCAGTAAGGTTGCTAAAGATAGCATCCCTTTCGAATGATGTTAGAGCTTTCTTCTTCACTTTATCATTCAACCCTTTGAACACTTGCTGCTGTCCCTGGCCTAGCCCAGTGAGTGTAGCATCTTTAAGTAAAGTCTTTAGCCCCTTATCCACGGAGACCTGGGCAATGCCAGCTCCTATGAGCCCTGCATCAAGAATAGCCAGATCCTTCATATCCTTCTGTGGAACTTCAAATTTATTCTTCTTGCACAGAATCTGACCATGGTAAATTCCCATCAAGGCCTTTGATTCTTTGGTTATTGCGAGCTCTCCAAATTTCTGAGATTCAGAGAGATAACCAGCATCATTTTCTTGTTCAATTTCAGTCTTTGCTACATCAATTATTTTCAGAGGTACAGGATAAAGGCCATTTTCTGCATTCTTAATGCTTTTGCATCTGTGGCCTGGCTAGGGAAACTTTCCCATCCAGAGTAGCCAAACTTTAAAATAATAAATCAAACTATCAAATCTGCTGGTAAATTTCCACAGAGAACTATGCTAAAATTAGGATTAAGAATATTTTTGGGCTCGGCACCTGTAGCTCAGTGGCTAGGGCACCAGCCACATACACCAGAGCTGGCGGGTTCAAATCCAGCCTGGGCCTACCAAACAATGACAACTACAACCAGCGACGCCATGGTACTCTACCCGGGCGACAGCTTGAGACTCTGTCTCCAAAAAAAAGAGAATAGTTTTGATTTTGTAGATCAATCTGGGGAGACTGACCTGTCAACAATATGCCTTCCCATGTGTGAACATGGTGTCTCTCTCCAGTGATTGAACACTGAGATTTCTCTCGTCAGTATTTTGCACCTGGATCTCACCCTTCCCTTTAGATATTCCCTGGATGTTGGAGAGGCATCACTGACCTGACATCCTGTCTGTGCCTTGGGCATCTCCTCTTGAGCTGTCTCAGAGGCCCCTTGACTTGTCACTTTCCCCTGGAACATGCTCTCCCTCAGTCTTCCATCTCAGCCACTGACATCTCCCCCACCTGGTTGCTCTATCTGGGAAGCTGTTGTCACCTTTGAGACTGTCCTTGTCCTCTCTCCACACAGCCAGGAACAATTTTGCCTCCAAAATACTATATTTTGGATCTGTCCCCCTTCTCTCCTCTACTATCCACCCCCTAGGCTTGGACACTCCCATGTCCCACCTCGATTATGGCAGCAGCTTCCTGTTCTCATCCCTCCTACACACACACACACACACACACTCCAGCACACAGAGCCTCCTCCAGCCCCAGCCAGAGTGATCTTTTCATCACACACATTTGATCATTCCACTGCTCTGCTTAAAACTCATGAAGGGTGACTACCATCCTTGTAAGAAAGTCCAAATCCCCTCTGTGGTCGATGCCTGCTGCTCTCACCTCATTCCCTTCTCCTCTGTCCTTTGCTCATCCTGTTTTAAGCACAGAGACCTGCTTTGGACTCTGGAGGTTCCAGACTCAAGGCTTTTTTGCCTAGGACTTCCCCTGCCAATAGGGTTCCCCCCACAGTCTTCACCTAGAAAAACTTTCACTCATCAGAGGTCTTGAATGTCATCTTGTTTTGAATGGTCAGAGAAGTACCGTTTTTCCATCCCAGAGTGCCCTGATCTTTTCCTTATAACATTTGGAACATTGTCTGTTTATCCCCTTCTGGAATTGACATAAGAGACCTAACTTGCTAATTTCTGTAGAGTGCCTTCATCTCTGTCCCCAGCCCCTCTCAGGTAGAAGGTTGTTGCTTAACAAGAATCAGGCCCTGGACTTTCCTCTAGACTGCCCAGCTTTCTGGGTGAGTTGACCCACTTCACAGATGCTGAAATGAAGCAGTTTGAGGGTCCATGTATGATGTAATTGGCTTCCCCTCCTCAGAACTTGGTGAGAACCAAAGTTGGAGCACCTCTTGTCCCTCCACCCCATGTGTGGGCCAATAGACTTATCCTATTCGTGTGTCCATATATTGGGGACAGAATCACAGTCTGTGGTTTCTCCCTGGGAATTTATTTCCCCTAAGTAGCCCGGGGGAGGCCGTGAGAACAGGAGGGACCAGCAGGCTCTCCAGCCCCACTCTGGCCTGCTTCAGCCACCACGGGTCCTAGCCCGGGCTACCTCTCACTGCTGGCCTGCTCTCACACACCCCTCAGTCTGGTTTATCTCCGCCCCCCTCCACCATAGCTCCTAGCCTCTGCCATCCACTGTTAAGATCTCTGGGCCACCTCCCCGCGAGTAGGCTGTATTGAGGTCCTGACATGCCAACGCTCTACAGCACACCCGGCAAGGGTCCAGGCTCTCCAGGCCTGGACCGGGAATCTGGGGCACAGACAGGGCAGAGTGCCACAGACTGGGGGGCAGGATTGGAGGTAGAAGGGGTGGGGGAGGGCTGCAGGGACAGGCGGCGGACCCAGGTAGGGAGGAGTCCAGCAGCCTGGGGACAATCTCCAGAGCGAGCAGAGAGTGGTGAGGGCTGGAGCGGGGAGGAGGGTTCCAGGGCCGCTCAGGATAGACGGCCCAGCGGATGGGGAGCGATTTTTCAGGACAGTGGGTAGGCTGAGTAGGGGAAGAGGCAGACGGCGGGTAGCTGGGAATCCCGGGCGAGGGCCCGAGGGTTGTCGTGGGGAGAAGCTCGGGTCCTGGGATCCCGAGTGATAGGAAGTGGAGGGCCAGGCTGCGGAGCCAGGAATAGCAGTTGCGGGTGGGTCACGGCTGCTCAGGTCTCCGCTGCAGACTGGCGTCCTTTGTCCAGGTGCGGTGGGCCCTCGCTTTCCAGGAACTTCCGCCAGAGCGTCAGCCGCGACACCTCGTGGGGACGCTGGGCCACCGGGCATCTGCCTCACGGGTCCTGGGCGGGGGCCGCCTCCTGCTGGCTTCCCTGGAAGCCCCTCTTTTCCCAGCTGTGAGCCCCGCCAGGCAGGCTGCTGTTAGGTAGGCGTCCTGAGAACAGCCACTGCGTGGGTTGCTGTACATCCTAAATGAGATAACTCCCTGAAGAAGTTCTTGGACTTTGGGAGCCCTATGGTTTACAATGCACCCACTCCTACCCAGGCCTCCTCACCCCTTTTCTGTGCCCAACGAGCTAAGTGGAGCTGCTCTGGGTGACACAGCTAGGGAGTGGCCCCTGGGATTCAAACCTAGGTCTGCTCAAAGCTGAAACCTCTTCTTGGGTAAAGGGGGCTTAGGCCAGCTGTGGGGAGACTTCGTGGTCTCAAGATGTTTAGCTCTGAGTTCTACAGACACCAGGTGGAGCTGCGATCTCCTGAGCTTGTGAAAGCTAGACTCAGGCCAGAAGGCTCCACCCCACTCAAGGGCGGGAAAGTCACCCTGAGGGGATTGGGGTCCCTCAAAGATCTCCCTTTGTCCCTTCCTACAGAAGCACAGCTTTCTTGGGATTCTCCCCAGGCTTCCCCTGAGACCCTGAAAGGCCCACCATCCCACACCCCTGTCCCAGGTCTGGAGAGGGTCCCAAGGATATTCCCTCCCTCCTTCCTGGACAGCTCCTTCCCCAAGCCCTGCCTCCCTGAAGAGTTTTTTTTTAAAAGACAGTCTCACTTTGTCACCCTCGGTAGAGTGCTATGGCATCATAGCTCACAGCAACCTCAAACTCTTGGGCTCAAGCAATTCTGCCTCAGCCTCCTGAGTAGCTGGAACTACAGGCACCTGCCACAATGCCCAGCTACTTTTAGAGACAGGTCTCGCTCTTGCTCAGGCTGGTCTCAAACCTGTGAACTAAAGCAATCCACTCACTTGGCCTCCCAGAGTGCTAGGATTACGGGCAGGCATGAGCCACCACACACAGCCTCCTCCTCTCTTCTTTGAGCCCCCAGACTGGAGGAACAATGGAGCTGACTAGGCCAGTGCTGAGTGCTGCTTTGAGGAGGAAGTAGAGGAGGAAGACCGACTGCAGGAGGCCCCACCACCACAGGCACCCTCTTTCCATGCACTACCGAGCTGACAGCTGGTCAGGTCTGGGTCCTGGGTTGGCATGCTGGGCTGAGGACTCCCAAGTGGACACAACCTCTGGGCAGCAGTCCCTGGGCCAGGTAGAGGGGGTGGCTCCTGCTTGGCAGCTGGCACTGCCTGGGATTCTCTCCTCCCCACCCCATGTCCAAGGAAGGGATCAGTGATAGGTGCATCTCCCTCCCCACTACTATCTGAGCTGTGGATGTGGCCTCAGCCTGGCTGTGGGACCACATTTCCTCTTGCCACCTGGAGCTGCATGTTCCTAGGGAGCTTACATAGCTCTCTCACCTACATTGTCATGTGTGGTAAAGGTGTGATGGGCCTATAGGCAGGAGGGCTGGCTCCAAGTAGGACAATTTGTTGTAGGTGAGCATGTGTTTAGTCCATGTCTATGAGGCCTCTTTGCCTGCCCCTGAGAGGAGATGGAGGAAGTAACAATAGGCAGATTTCAGGTGGCTCCCAGGCTCCGCCCCATCCTCTGATTGCCAACTCTGTGGAAGGAGGGCATCAGGGCCTTGGCCCAGGCTATAACAGGATGCCCATTATAGGGACACCAGGCCAGACCACAGGGACTTGTCTTGGGCTGAAGCCCCAGGGGCCTTTGCTGCTATTGTAGGACATGGTGGGGATGTGCAGACCATCACAACTGGGGGCTATAGGACCCCTAATCTATCTTCCTAGCCATGATGTTCCTCAGTAAGGTCTGCAGGGACAGGAAGGCCCTCCCCACCCCTAATCCAGGAGGGGAAGGAGAGATGAAATTAGGACAGTCTGCTCTGTCCTTGAGCCAACCCCAGCCCCTCATGGAGACCACATCCCCTTTTGATTCTATCTTTCTTCTTATCTCTTAACTCCCAAAGAAGAAAAGGCCTAGCCAAGGCCAAAGTGAGAAAAACCACGTTGTTGACTTAGTTATTAACACCACCAGGGAGGGCTGGGGAAATGTCACAACAGGAAATGACCCAGAGTGGGGATCCGTCACCTCATACACACCTGTGCCCGCACGTGCACACATGCTGACCACATCCGCAGCAAGTGTGCGCCCGTGGGGTATATGCAGAGACACTTACTGAAGGTCTAAAATAAAGCAAAATGAGTGAAGGTAGCATCTAGGGTGCAGGCACCCAACAGAAGGGGTGGGGTAAGGAAGATCAAGTGAATCTCTCTCATTGAGTGAGTCTCTCTCACTGAGCTCTCAAGCGCCCTTGCATGGCTGTGGGCCCCAGAGGGTCAGCGAAAGGAGTGAGGTTGGGGCCTGTGTGGAGAGGCCTCTCTCCTGCCTGGGCATAGAGTCCATTTTCAACAGAGATGAAGCTGCTGCGTGCAGTGGAGGCCCAGGGGTCAGTGGCCTGGGGTTGGCGTGTGGTATGGGTGGGGAATGGTGTCCACCAGGATAGTCGCCGATGGGGGTGGACCATGTCCAGAGCTGCTGGGCAGAAGCTGGTGTTGATGGAGCTATAGAGGGTGTGGTGAGTGGACAGGGAAGTTGGGCCAGCTGCCTGCAGAGAGAAAGCGGGGGAGAGCCAACTGAGTCTCACAGATCATGGCCCAGTTCCAGCTGCCTCCCCATTCTAGGACCTGCCATTCCTTACCTGTACTGGGGGCTGCGCCTGCGTGCTGGTGAGGGGTGGCTGGAACTTACTAACAGGCCTAAGACAGAAAGAGGAGGGTCAAAGGCAAAGGATACGGGCAGCCCAGCCCAGCAGTGAGGGAACCAGATGGGGACCCAGTCTCACCAGTGCCTCTGCTGGCGCAGGAGGTGTAAGAGGTAGATACAGCCAAAGAGGAGGATCCCTGAGACCCCCATGATCCCAGCGAGGTCTGCCCGCAGAATGGGAACTGGAGTTGGGCCAGGGAAGCCTGGGCAGAGGGAGTGGTATCAGATGGTAGCAGACACCCGAGTCCCTCCTTCCCTTTGCTGGGCCCCTCTCCAACCTCACCTGGGTCCGAGCTAGGCAGGAAAGCTCCACAGGCCTCCTGGGAGCCTTCAGGGAAAGAAGCAAATTTGCAGCAGAAGGTGGTGTTGGCACTGAGGCTTCTTGTCTCCAACTCTTCCAGGGTGAGGGAGACACTGCTTCTGGTTTCCCAACGGGCCTGGCGGGCAGGGGGCCACTGCTGGGTGCCAAGCTCTGGGTGCAGCACAGCCAGCCTGGTCCCACCAGCACGGTCAGGCCCCCCACAGCTCACAGTCACCAGAGAGATGGAACCAGATCCCAGGAACTCACAGCGGATGGTAAAGGATAGGAACTCAGTGGCCTCCATTTGAACTTGCACCCACACCTCAGGGGTCCCTGTGGAATAGACAGAAACATCCAAAGCTGTGTCTCCACACATACACCCCCTCCATGGCCTCTGCTCCTCACTGGCCTCCTACTCACCAGCAGTCAGGCAGAGGGCCAGAAGTGCCCAGGGCAGGACCAGGGGCCGATGCCCAACCATTGCTCTCTCCCGCCCAGACTTGGGGGCTGCAGGGACAGCACCTGCTCTCTGTTCTCATCACAGGAAGTTGTCATGTTGTCAGTAGGCCAGGAAGCGACCACTTCCTTCTCTTCTTTCAGGTCTGTCCTCTGCCTCCCCAGGTGGTGAACACAGGGTGATTGATTCCCTTCTTAAAGTGACAGTGACAGGACCTGTGCAATCCCTAAGGGCTGTGCTTCTGTAAGCAGGGAAGGTGGTTCTAGGGCACACAGGTGGGTGTAAGCTAGTAGCTGGGCCAGGGTCGAGGAAGCGAGGCAAGGGGAGAGGGCAGAGACGCTGCAGGGGGACTTAACTTCCCCTTAGCTTCTGACCTCCTTGTCCAGCTAAGATGTAAGAGAATGTGGAGGAATTTGGGAAGAAGATAACCCTATAATCAGAAAGCCAGCAGGGGCTACCTCAGAGAACCTCAGTGTGACTCACCACTGCTCTGAAGCAGCCTTTCAACACTACATGCCAGTGAGCCCCATGGCCTGGATCCTCAGCCCCAGCTAGGTTGGTCCAACTACCCTCTCACACCTCTGAGACATCCAGCAGTGCCAATTCAGCCTGCCTATTTGATGCCCTCCCAGTGTTTATGGTGATTTTCCTGCTGTTCATCCCCAAAGCACTGCTGTGGGGATTAACCTTGCCACCTGTAACTCTTCTCTTCCACCTCCACTCCATAAGAAATCCTGTCAGCTACCCCTCTGACCAACTGACCACTGCTTACCACCCTCACTACCTCCCCAAGATTCTGGCCATTATCATCTTCTGCCTGCAAGGGCAAGAATAATGGATAATTAGATTAAGCAGATCTCCCAGCTTCTGCCTCAGCTGTCTTCCAGTCAGTCCATAACTCAGCAGCTGGCATGATCCTCTTGAAAGCCATATCAGATGGGTGATTGCCCCCCTTTGCTCATAGCCCTGCCACCCAGAGCCAAGGCCTCACAGACCTCAAGAGTCTGGCCTGCCCTTCCCCCTCACTAGCATGCCTATTTGTTGAGTTAAAGCAACAGGATTTAGAGGTGACAAGGACAGGCTGGCCCTTGCCTTTGTGGTATTTATAAGAAGGCAATGAAAGACACCCTGTGGCCTCTACTACAAGTTCTGTCTTTCCAGTAAGTGTTGCTTGAAATAGCTCTTCTGTGTACTCTCACAGACCCAGAACCACCAGAGCACTGCTGTATGCACAGCGATGGGGGACCCTTTTCAGGGATCACAATGCTTTGTTCAATGTGAGCCTGAATCTGGGGTCTGTAAGAGAGCCAAGGCCCATCTGGAAGGTCATCTTGTGTGGGGTGTGGTGAAGACTGAAGAGATGGCCCTGTCTCAGGTTACCTTGCTGGGGTCTTACACCATGTCAAAGAGTCCTATGGTGTTTGCCATAAACCAACTGGGTCTCTTGGCCAAGCTCTGTTCCCTCATCCACACCTTGCCGCCCATGCAGTGGCCTCCACAGGCACCTGGGTTAATAGGACCTCCAGGCCAATCACCCATGCCCTTGAGGTCTCCAGCCTAGTCAGCATTCTCTCAACTCTTTGGCCTTCACCCAGGCCCAGTGTACCACTCTCCACATTTGGCTCAGACTTGCTTTCACCACATTTTCCACATCTATCTCTACAACAGGGTGTGAGGACTGTGTAGAACCTCTGTGGCTTCGGTACCCAGGGCAGTGAGGCTACTGGCCTCAACCTCCTTCCTCTGGGAGACCTTGGTCTTCCACTGAAGAAAAAAATATTTAACTTCCAAATATACTTGACATTATTGTGAGATGGTAGTCCAGAGGGTCTGCAGACATAAGTCCTGTAAGCTGTCATTAAGTAGGGGAGATTTGTGTCTGTAGAGACAGTGAAGTAAACAGATTCAAACAGGCTCTCTCTGAAACCTCCCTTGTCCATCCAGATCTAGGAAGACCACCTAAGTCTGATACCTTTGAGGCTCTGACAGCTGCCTGCCATGAGGTGTCATCTATATAACACCTCCTTGCTGGCCAGGTTTCTCCTCTCCTCCCAGAACCTGTTTTGCTGTGCTCCACGCCCCTATTCTTTCTGTAATTTGAGGATGGCATAAAAGTGTCAACCATCTGACCATTTCTTTTTTATATTTTATATAACTCATGTGTAGACATAAAATTTATAAGTCCCTTTTTCTGTGTTAATCTATTATCTGTTTTATTTTATAGACTCAAGATTACAGAACTTGGGGGAGTAGGCTTCTGGCACCATCTACTGCAATCCTACCTACTTTGCAGGACCTTGCTTAAATCCCATGACCTCCAGGAAGCTGTCCCAGAATGCACACTTCCTTCTTGGACATCATCCATCACCTGACACAGGTTACCCCACAGCCAGCACTCAGTGGGACTGGGCCTATGGGCCAGTTTTCACAGGTTGACTCAAAACCCTCAAGGAAGAGTCCATTCAATCAACCCCTGCAAAGTACCTAAGGGAAGCTGAGAACTTTTTTTTTTTTTTTTTTTTTTGAGACAGAGCCTCAAGCTGTCCCC